TACATCTGAGAAGAAATGTCTAGAATTGCACTGTAAATTACTAAGAGCTGAAAGCTGTGTTCTAAATTATGGCAAGCAAAATGGTACAATTAAATAACACGACTCTACACATGGACCTCACCAGATGGTCAGAACAGAAATCAGATTGACTATGGGTTCTGCGCCAAAGATGGACAACCTCTATACAGTCAGTAAAAACAAGACCAGGAGCTGAATGTGGCTCAGATCATGAGCTTCTGGTTGCAAAATTTAGGCTTAAATTGAAGAAAGTAGGGAAAAGCACTGGGCCACTCAGGTATGACCTAAAGCATATTCCTGATGAATATACCACTAGAGGTTACTAATAGATTTAAGGAATTAGATCAGATAGACAGAGTGCCCAAAGAACTATGGACAGAAGTTTGCAACACTGTACAAGAGGTTGCATCTAAAACCATCCCAAGGAAAAAGAAATGCAAGTTCTTAAAGAGATGGGAATACCAGACCATCTTATTTGTCTCTTGAGAAACCTGTATGCAGGTCAAGAAGCAACAGTGAGAACTGGACATGGAACTACTGATTGGTTCAAAATTGGGAAAGGAGTATAGCAAGGATGTATATCGTTGCCCTGCCTATTTAACTTATATGCAGAGCACATCATGAGAAAGGCTGGGCTAGATGAATCGCAAGTTGGAATAAAGATTTCCGGGAGAAATAACCTCAGATATGCAGATGATACTATTCTAATGGCAGAAAGTGAAGAGGAACTAAAGAGCCTCTTGATGCGGGTGAAAGAGGAGAGTGCAAAAGTTGGCTTGAAACTCAACATTAAGAAAACTAAGATCATGGCATCCGGTCCTATCACTTCCTGGCAAATAGATGGGGAAGAAATGGAGGTGATGACAGATTTTATTTTCCTGGGCTCCAAGATCACCACAGATGGGGACTGCAGCCAAGAAATTAAAAGACATTTGCTCCTGGGGAGGAAAGCTATGGCAAATCCAGACGGCATACTAAAAAGCAGAGACATCACCTTGCCAACAAAAGTGCGTATAGTCAAGGCTATGGTTTTCCCAGTTGCAATGTATGGCTGTGAAAGCTGGACCATAAGGAAGGCTGAGCGCAAAAGGATTGAGGCCTTTGAATTGTGTTGCTGGAGGAGACTCCTGCCAGTCCCTTGGACCGCAAGGCGATCAAACCAGTCAGTCTTAGAGGAGATCAACCCTGACTGGTTGTCGTCACATTATGCTAATTATGGTCCCAAACTAGCGCCTTCTAGATGTGTTCGACTACAGGATGTCTTGTCCTCATCCAATGTTGCCACTGTCTGTGCTCCCTGAAGAAGGTCATTTGTATCTGGGAGACATTTATGGTATTGTGGTGCATTTGTGATTCCAATTACCCATTTATAACTGTTGCTAGCCATCTTTAGGAATGATTCCTGTGAGTGATAGATCAACAAGTAGAATAAATAAAACACATTTAAGACTCTTTGCTCTGTTGGTGACTTACAACTTCACATCAGTCCTAGCCTGCATAGCCAATGATGAGGGATGATCAGTTATAGGCCAAAACATCTGGAAGGCCATAAGTTACCCACTCCTGCATTAGGGCCACTCTTGTCTCATGCTTCTGATCTTAACCTCAGCAATTTCAGGTAAACAGAACAATTCTGTGCATGCTTACTCAGAGGTAAAGCTTTCAGTAAAGCTTACTACAGGGTTAACGTGCATGGCATTGCTGCCAAAACAGCTATTTCTTTAGCGATATCTCATGCACTGTGAGTGAATGCACACAGCTCTATTCAGCCTGCATGGCTGTAGGGTTTTTTTTTTTTTTTGGTGTAGGAAATGATCAAGTAAAGGTTGTTTGGGATATCTAAATGTTAGTTAACTGTGACCTTTAATCTTATGCTTTCCCAGCATTGCTCAAGTATGTTAATGGTTTTAAGCATGGCCATACCATTAAACAGAAGCAGAATTGTTTCCAATAATCCCTCTAAGATATAGTAGCCAAATAAACTTTGTAGATAACGCCATAAAATCAAGAATCCCATCTACAGTGAACAGTGCTGTTTATTCTAGCCCTCTGATTATACATAGAAGGTATTAACTGTGTAGGCCCTGCAACTTCCACACTGTCTTAATAAAGACATCTTGTTCTCTCAGACATGTTTGTTTCTTCAATGATCCCATTATCCCGTTATGAAATTACATTAGCAGGCATTCTCAGGTTACTTGGGTTTTTGTTTTTTTCTAGATCAGTGAGAAGCATAGGCAGAACTCATTCACTTTTAATATGGTTACAAGCCAGACTGGGGGTGGTGGTGGTGGGGAGAACAAAAGTCTTCTGTCCTATACTCCTTAAACCTAACCTAGTCTGTCCCCAGACACTTCATGTTTCCACTACATGGATGTTAATACAAGCTAGGCTTGGAATTCGGAAGTTTAATTAATTGGTGTCCATTACATCTATATACCCAAGCTTGTTGTTTCTTCATACCCCTGCGCACTCTAAGTTGCCACCTTATGCTTACTCTGCTTTTTCAAAAGTAATAGTTAAGAGCTTATACTCAGGAAATCAGGTTGTCTAGCAGACATACAGCAATGCTGCTCCCACTCTTTCCCGCTGCCACAGTATTCACCCGAACAGTACCAGAGAGCAAGCATGGTGCAGTGGCTGGAACGGGGTACCATGTTCTGGTCACCACTCAGCTGTAAAGGTCCACAGCCTAACCTGCCTCAGAGAAATAAATTATAACGATAAAATGAAAGGAAAGGTCACGCATGCTGCCTTCAGCTGCTTGGAGGAAAGGCAGGGTTTAATAACCAGATAAAACAAACCTGGCAGTGTACAATGTACAACAAGTTCCAGATACGGCTTCCTGGGACTCCATTCATTATTGCTTTGCCAGATTTTCATAGAAACTGGAAAATCCCCCATTAAGTGGCCTCTGCTTCTCCACTCTGCAATTTTAAATAACTGCTCCTGTGCAGATATTTTGATGCGTGCTTATTCTTCCTCTGGCTTTAAGTCACAAGATACATTCTGGTCACAAGTTACCTCAACTAACAGTTGATTACCATAACAGAGAGGCTTTTTCTCCCTATACAGGTGAGCCAGGATGAGCCAGGATTCCACTTGCACATGTGGAATCGCAAGACAGTATGCACAGCCCCTTGAACCACAGCTGGCTATTGATGAAATGGATGCACCGCTTGCTTCCACAAAGCACATCTGAGAGAAGTTCCAGGTGTGGGTGCAGATGCCATAAAGAGCAAGTTCTGGTGGAAGTTCAGGGCAGTAACAGCAACTCCACCACTACCTCCTGAGCCATTGGCCACTGCGTGCCAGACAGAATCCAGGAGGTGAAGCATCTACTTTGGCATCTATCTGCTGTATTTCTGGCTGTCGTGTCACTGGAGTGGTGCAGTTTCTGGCTTGTTGTACTGGAGCCATCAACCAGTTGATGAGTCACTGTCCATTAGCCTGGCTTTTAACTAATCGAGTGAAACAGTCCAAACTGCAAGACTGTGTGTCATGTCCTTTGAGAAATCCAGTGGGAGCAGACAGCACCCCTGTTGTGCCATGTCATTGACTAAACAAGGTCACTGGGAAAAGCTTAGCAATGTTTTCTTTTTCAACACAGTATTGAAGTACAAAAGCTCTTTTAAAGTATCTGGTTATCCTAATTTAGTTATGGTGAGTAGCTGGAGACCAGGACTGGAAGGGAAGCTCAACTACACAAGTCATGGATCAGGGTTCTTTTATTTACACTTCGCCCAATTTAAAACCAAAGCATAATTGCACAGTCACAAAATCAAACAGTGTACTTAACACAAAAAAAAGGAGTCCACACATACCCCACTATAATATTTTATGGAGTTTCTCATACAAGTATTTGATAATGCAATGCATGTGTTAGATGTTTGGTAACTGCCCAAGTCAAAGGATAAAGTTTGTTTAAAGCTATGATCACATAGTAACTGGACAAGACTCTCTATGGACATGGCACTGTCAACAAGCCTCTCCATATTTATTTTTGAAAATCCAAGCATTTATATAGTTGAATCTGCATTTTATGCCAGTATTACTCCAAATTACTTATTATATAGAACACTTAGTACAGAAGCAGTCTGTGCAAATGCATCATGTTCCAATTTGAGATAATATACTTTCAGAATTCTTAATATTTCAAGACTTAACCCCTTCATATCTTAGCCTGACAAAATGCTTTCTCCATTCCTCTGCCCAAACATGTTCTATTTGGATAGAACGAAAATGGAAGAACATATTATGCCTATTCAAAATTAACAGTTGGAAATTACTCCAGAGTTTTAATTCTAGAAGGCGACTGCCATAAGAACTGGGGGGAAAAAAACTGTCCAAGTTTAACAGTGGAAGTTTGATCTCTTGTTGAAGACCTTGTTTTGCTGGTGTATATGGTTCACTTATAGCTTTAATAAAATGGAAAAATGTGAAATACCACAGTAAAAGTAATTTTCCAATATGTTTTAAACTACACAGGCTTAGTTAATTAAGAACAGCCACACATTAACAGAGGCTTAAAAAAACTGTTCAATTTAAACTTCTTGGAAATCCCAAAGTGAAATTCTGGATGGAACTCTTTTTTTGGATACATCCTTACATGTGGAATTGCACAGAAACCACTTCAGAGCCATTTTTAGTGGTTTTTGTAAGAGTAGAGGCTGACCTTCATTTTTGTTCCAATTAGGGTCTTTATTTTGCATAGCTTCATGAAATCTCTCCTGCATCTTCCATGGCAGACATTATCCATGGCTAGTCAAGTTGTACGTCTTGTTGCTGGCTTTCCTATTCCAGCCATTGAATAGTGGAGCCCACTTGCTGCCTTCTAGCTCTTGGTGGACAAACAGGTTTTCAGGGAAGATAGCTTTGGATACTCTTAGAAAACTCTGGGTCAGATTGAGATCAGGAATTGAACTGTAGCATAAACTGTGCTGGACTGTGGCAGGCATTCTGTGGTTCTCTCTCATGCTGGGATACGAAGGTCTAGCCATCTCAGATGGTTCAGAGAACTGGGTAGGGGATGGTGGTAGTTTCCCAGCCAGGGTGTCTTAACAAACGTAGAGGAGAGAGATGGAGAGAATGAAGAGGCCGGTAGTTGACTGAAGGGTGTTTCCATGTGACTTGGGAGTGGTACTGTTCAGTGTGCTAAGTGGCACAGAAGTCAAACTTGAATTATTGTTCGAGGGGGATGCAGTGGTTGTTCCATTATCGCCACCTGTCTAAATATGCATAAAAAGAGATGATCAAATACCAATAGCCACTTTTCAGCTTGTGTTCTGCCTTTAAACATTTATGATGTACTACACACTATGACACGCATACACATGCACACACGCTATATTCATTAATATTTCTGTTCAGTCGTTTCTAAAGGGCAATTGCTTTCCTACAGCCTAGTTACCCTTCAAATGTGTATCATGGAAAGAGATACACTGCCTCTCTTAGAAGATCAGTCCTTTAATGATGCATCCCTATACATACTTAACTCACAACTGAGCCCCACTGGGTTCGGTGGAGTTTACTCCTCAGGAACTGGAAACTGGACTGCACTCGTGTATGTTCATGCATGCAAACCAGAATTTAAGTGACACGTCTGAGATGAGTCAGGAAATAAACATGAAAGGGCTCCATGAAATCTACATGTATCAATAGATACAAAATAGCAAGGTAACAAGACCCCGCTACTGGTTTACCCATTCTAATATTAACAATGTATTTACAACCAGGTCATCATAATTCTTACAACAGAGTTGAAAGTAAACTGAGAGTCTTTTCCACCACCAAATACTTCACCAGAAAACTTCATATAAAGTAGAGGTGGCCAAACCAAGGCTCAGGAGCTGCATGCAGCTCTGAGTTTATTTTGCAGCTCACCACTCAGGGGGCCAACAGGCATCTGCTCACTATCATATTCCCTCCCCCAAATTATATTCCAAGGCTGCTATTCCAGAAAACATTCAGCCTAGCTAAGCCCTGGATTATGACTAGTTTACCCACCGCTATCAGCTTTAATGTCTCCTCCTACTCGTCTTGCATTTCTGCCTAGTTATCGTGGTAATTTAATGTCAGCAACTGTGAACATTTTCTTAAAGTGGGCTAGATGTGGAGAACTCACTATGGTTGTAACCGGCAATTTATTGGTTACAAGACTGAAACCAAGATCTTTTTTTCCTCTGTAGGTATCACTGGGTAAGGCTAGGAATAGAATGATACTTTTTAGCAGTTCAAAGTCTTTGGGAAAAGCTTTGCTTTCTATAGAGACCTTGTAACCATTTGTCCAAGAGGTTTCAGTCCCCTCCACACCCCCAATTTAAAAAACCTGTTCAGCCAGTGTTTCCACACCACTTTCAGAGTGGTCTGTCTCTCCCCAGCCTAATGCTACCCAGCTTCTTTTCCCAAGTTCTTTTGTGTTACAAGCCAAAGACTGTTAGAAAGAGAAAGTCAGAGAAACGGTAGCCTCTCCTTCTACCCAAAGTTATAGTCAGAGATTCTTCATACTGTATTTTGTCTGGCTGGCAATGTTGTAAGATACTACTTGCACTGCATATACTGATACACTGAATCTGAGCACACAGTTTAATACCAAGAGCAGTTCTAGAATCAAGATGCCATGTCTGTTCGTAAGGCGGGGAAATTAGGATGTAGTTTTAGTTGCTGGATCCTGGAAAATTGAAGCTTCTGTAGTAAGAAGCAGTAAGAGTTTGGTACTGTGAATTTCAGACATGTCATGTTCTTCCTAAATGATTCATACTAATTAGTATAAGCTCAATCGATTTTGCCCTGGCACTCTTCTCAACTTGAGACATATATATTAGTTTCAGCAGAGCTTTATCGAAGTGTGCATACCCAGGAACAGAGTTTAGCTCGTTGAGAAATACCACTACCCACTTGCTGGGTGACCATACCTATGCAGCAGCCACCTTCTGAAAACAAACAGCTTTTAACTGAAGTCAAAGCTGGAGTCCTGTACTGGCTTCTTTGCCTTTAAATTCAATGTGGCAGAAGCAGCCCATCTGCTGGATTACAATCTTTATCCCTATTCCTTAGTGTTGTGAATTTAAGCTTACAAGGCTAGTATACACCAATGTAGAGACTAAAATCGTTTGTTTCAGATACGTGACAACAGGATCCTGTTAACATCCATTCAGCTGCTGACTACAGAAAAATCTAAGCCACCAGCATACGTGGCATGTAGAATTACTGAACTCCAGCAGACTAGTTTCGTCACATTTTCACCTTCAGTGAAACCAATGAAACAGTTTCTAGAGATTTGGGTGCAACTGTTACAATTCCTAAAATTATGTTTGTGGTACCAGGTGGCTTATCTAAGTAAAAACCTCAAAGGGCAAACCTACAGGAGCCTTCCTCAATACGCCCCAGTTGGAATACAACTCCTATCATCCCCAACCAGCATACTATTTGGCTGTAGTGGCTAAGGGTGGTAGGAGTCATAGTACAATACTTTTGAAGGAACCTAGGGCTGGCCCTACAGCTTCAGAACAGATCCTTTCAAACCATACAAGTTGCTTCCCAAGGCTACTTCCGAAAAGCCTTGCCTGAATTTTACTTCATTCCACTCCGTTCTCATTGCTGCCTCATTGCTATTAACTCGCCCCCTGACCCACTTGCTAGTCCTTTGCCAAGCTTCCTTCTAGCTCTTCAACTTTTGCCTCCGAAGCTAATCGGCCACGGAAGGAAGGCAAGCGGATGACTTTTTTTTGCAGCTGGCTATTTAACATACTGACTAACCACAGCTTTTTCAAAAGAAGCAGAATGTGCTTAAACGGGCTGTCCCCAAAAACAGAACAGCATATTTGAATGCCATTTTGGGTGTGAGAGCATCAGGTGCAGGTATTATATACACATACCTAAAAATCGGTCTCCTTATCTAAACCACCAAGCTACGCTGCATTTTACCTATTGATAGTTATACCAAAACTCACGATGCGTGTCCTTAAACTTTTAAAGCAGCATCTAAAGACAGTTTACCAAAAATAAACTGGCCAAAATTATATACAGAAGCTTACTAGGAAGTAAGTTCCATTACATACAGTGGGACTTCATGCATATATGCCCAAGATCGCCCTCGGAGAGCGCAGCAACAGCCTGATGGAAACCGAAGGAAGGAGGCAGCCGCCCCTCCAGGTAAACGCAGAAACAAAACCGCATCCTTTTTCTACAGCTTGCTATGGTTTCCACAGAGGTCTTTCTCTGCCCGTTATTTAGACAATTGAGAGGTTCCTTTTCCAAGAAACTGAGATGCCTTCCTTCATTCACCAGACGGTAAGATACCATTTACTCAGAAAATTTACTTCGAGGGCTTCTCCACGGAGCGGGGGCTGCACAGAGCTCGTCGGTACCATTGGCTCTGTTCTGTATTTTACTAGTTTAAGGCGGGCAAAAAACTGCAGGCTTCCGTATTATCACAAAATCCTCAAGGTAAATGTTCGATCTCTCCACATTACCACGAAGTAGTTTGTGCAAACTGGACGCTTACCAGCCTCCTCGAAACGGCTTCAAGCAGCCACAATCCTATGCACTTACTTGGCAGTAAGTCCCAGTGAACGCAGGAGCGCTTACCTCCAAGTAGGCGTACATAGGATCGCGCGGTTGACGGTACGGCATTGCACCGTCCAGCTCTGTGTTATACAGAGATTTTTCGGCACCGCTAAAGCGACTGCTCGGGGGGCCGCCACGCCCACCCGGCACGGGCGCCGGCACCTCCAAGCCCGCGGGGGCGCGGGGATCTCAAGCAAAATGAGGCGCGCCAGCTCGCCGAGGCAGGCGAGGGAAGAGCGGCGCTCGACGCCCGGGGCAAGAGACGGGGAAGCCCGAGCTCGCCCCGGGCGCCTTTTCCGAGACAAAGCCAGGCGCGCAGAACGGCGGCCGGGCCGCTTCGACCGCCGCCGCCGCCGCCGCGCAGGGGCCCAGGGGCATTTCTGGGGGGCCCTACTCCCGGGGCGTCCAGGCGCGGGGGCTCCGCTCCAGGGGGCTGCGCAGCCCGCGCTCCGCCGGGGCTCACCTGCGTGGGAAAGAGGATGGCCAGGAGCAGCAGCCCCAAGCCGAGCCGCGTAGCCAGCGCCGTGCCCATGCCTCCGGTCGTGTGCGAGCGCCGCGCCTCGATCCCGTGCGCGCTGCTCGGCGGTGCAACGTGCGGCGGCGGCGGGCGCGGGCCTTTATGCGCGCCGGGCGGGGCGGGGCGACCCTCGCGACGTCGCCCCACTCACCGGCTCGGGCCCCGCCTCGCCGCGGGTGGGCAGGAGGGGGCGCGGCGCGGCGCCCCGCGCTTGCGGATTCCAGCACGGAGGGTGCGCGGGCCCGGACGGCGTGATGGAGGGGACGCGCGCTTCCTGACTGGGACGCTCTAGCCCCCTCTCAGGCGTGCGGGGCTGCTGGGGGATCACTGTTCAGTGGCAAGAAAGAAAGCACTCTGTATATGCTCAGGAATGGTTTGCACAAAGAATGTACAAGTGAACGGTGTTTTAACGGCACGGTGAGTTGAATAAAAAGGGAGTTTAAAACTTCTCTTGGCCCAGTAGTAAGACTCACAATTAAGAGCTCCAAGAAGCTATTTAGGCAAGGATTTTAGAATGAGTCCTTTGCTCTCCCAGGGTGCAGCTCTGGAAACAGAGGAAGTACTAAAAAAAAAAAAAAATGCTTCTGATCGTGTGATGAGTGCTTCTTTCTGTTGAGGCATACGAGGAGCTTCTAACAACACTAGATGTCTTAAAGCACAGCTTCTGAAGAGCTAAAGCCCTGGCACTGTAAGAAATAGAGTATTTATTACGGAAATCTTCCTCGGCAATTATTCCATCAGAAGCTGATGTAGAGGAGGTGACAGTCTCAGGGATGTGGAAGGGGGGGAACTCCCATTATTGACAGACTGCAGTTCCCATCATCATTAGCTAGGGCTGATAATTATACTACAACAACACCTGGAGAGCCACACGGTGCCCACCCCTGACAGCCCTTATTCTTGATTTTCTTGAGCAAGGGCTCTCCTCAGAAAGTAGAGAGCGGGATGGCCTGCCTGAAAGAAGCCGCCCTGTCTCAGTGATTGTGCCTTCCAGAGAGCCGCTTCAGGGAAAATTCTGCCGGATGACTCCAGAAGAAAAATGGCAGGATCGCTCTGCCATGGTGCACCGGCCATGCACCACAGGCTGATTTTGGAAATCAGTTGTGCATTTCCTCTCTCTTCTTGTACAATTACAGCCCTGCTCATGCTTTGGCTCGGATCCCTTACTGATCCCCACTTTCTCCCCTTCGTTTACAAGTCCAACTTTTCTTTCTACTTTCCTAGAGAGAAAGATTTCCAGAATTGTATTTGCTTTCCATTTGCTTGGAAATGCTGTCTAATGGGTTTCTGACCCAGGGCAAGGCAGCTACAGCTACAACCTCTATAGGAATAAGTAGGAGAAAAGAGCTGAAGAGGGGTAGGCAATTTAGCACCTTTCAGATTTTGCAGACTACAACTCCTAGAATCTCTGATCATTGGTCATGATAGCTGTGGCTTATGGAAGTGGCAGTCTAAACATCTGGAGGGCACTGGATTGGGGAATATTGGTATGGCATGAACCCAGTAGGCACTGGGTAGGCCTTGAACACAGTGGGTCCTTCTGAGTATGCAGTTATAAGATTGTATTGTAGATGACGAAACGTTGCTGTGTTCATGGCCTACACTTAGCAGATTCATTAAAAGCAATGGAAATTTACAGTCAATTTCAGTACACTGTGGACTGCATCCTCCAGTTGCTTTCCATAAATACTTTGGACTGCAAACCTATACCCAGCTTCTGGTAGGAAGTTCTACTGAACTTAATGGCACTTACCTGTGAGTACGCATCTATAGGACTGTGCTGTAAGTCTCTTTGAGGAAGTGTTTGTATATTTCAGTGTCCAATGGCAAAAAGAATTGCCACAGAAGTTAGACTGCCTTGCTTCATTTGCATTTGCCGAGAGCCACTATCCCTGGAGAACTAGTCTGGTGCAGTCCTGACCAGCAGTCCTGTAGACCTCATGAAGCTCATCAGAAACTCTGTATTTGCAGCCCAGGTTTTGCAGCAATGACTCCTGGGTCCTTCTGCATGCAAAGCTCAACCACTGCGCCTAGTGACTTCTCAGAAAAGTCCCACTAATTTTGTGAGGCAAATGTCTGATCCCATGTATATGCACAGGAATACAGCCACCGCCACAATAGCAATTGCCTTATTCCAGCAGATTAGTCTGGGCCAGGTGTAGCTGCCAGCAGAGGAGAGGTGTGCAATGGCATCAGGCCACCTTCTTCTATGCAGCTCATTTGCTGCCACAGCACTAGTGATGCCTGCTGGGGAACACCCAGTGCCAGTGCCTCAACCACATTATGCAGCGTCTGCCACTGGAGGACACTGCCTCTCTCTGCCTAATGATAGGGCCGGCCTTGAATGCCGCAACACGCATGCAAATGACTTACAAAGAAATATACAACTTGTCCAGCTACAACTGAAGGCAGTTCAAGAGCAAACTGGAGTCCACAAGTGTGCGTTGTTGGCTTGGTTTAGGTGGGTGTTGAGAATGGGTGTTGGAATAGCAATCTTTAACCTTCAGCTGGTTTCAGTTACAGGCCATGTGTTTGCATATGTTTGTGTGCTTCAATACACTCAATATATCTTATAGTTCCAACCTGAACATGTTTTGTGCTCCCTACATAATATTAACTCTCACAGCCTTCTAAGACCACGAAGTGGGCTCCAGGGGAATTCGACTGGGGAATATCATCCAGCTATTTCAGTTTTTATATTTGCATTTACATTTTATACCCGAAATGAGTATCACTGTGAAATGATTTCGTGTTCCAATCCTCCACTCCATCCATCAGTCATGATATGGTGCAGCGGAGATGCACAGCCTGTGGCCCTAGAGCCACATATAATCCTTGTCCTGATTTCAACAGCCCTCTGCACATGATCAGTTTGGACTTATGATGAGAACTGACGAGGGTGGGCAGTGAGGCGATTTCCTCGGGTGGCAGGCGCCAGGTAGTGTGGAAAGAGCAGGAGCATCCGCTGTGGCAAGTGGGATCTGCCTGTGCCTTGGCAACCTGCTAGGTGGCAAGCGGAAGAGAAAGGCCTATTGGAAAGGGAGAGAAAGAAAGGAGATGGTGGAAAGGAGGGAAGTGGGGTGAAATCTCTGCCTCGGGCAGGGAGTCCCAAGAAGGGTCAAGTTCTTCCCCCAGGAGAGCTGCATGGCTGAGCCCAGGGCTCCAGCAAGCCCTGCTGGAGGGTCAGTCCACCTGTGTCTAATGAAGGGGTCCACCTGAGAACACCAAACCGAATGTGAACGTGCTTCCAAGAAGTCTGTCATGAGCATTTCATTTCCTGAAATGAAATTGACCAGGAAGAGGAATGTGATTCCTGCTCAAGGGGGAAATGTTGTACGTAATAGTTTCCTGTGCCATAATGGGAATTTTAATTGACAGGAATACCTGGTAAGTTTCCATTTAGCAAAAGTAGAGGGAAAGGCCTAAAGCAATCTACAAGTGCTTGTTGGACTTATGTACTCACATGGAAGTAAGAAGATCAGGTTTGGGTTCAAGGCACAGAGAAAAGGGGGTGGATACTGCCCTGCACAGTGTTCCTAATTCCAATAACCCCCATATCTGCAACTGATTTTTCAAAAGAAAAGAATGCCATACATAGAATTGCAGTCTAGCATGTCATTTTGGCCTATGTTCTGCTCAGTCCATCAGAGATTCATTTGCTCATTCATTATAACATTTTACAAACACCATTCATCCTGACAGATATCAGGATGGTGTACATATATAGTTAAAATAATGCACAGTACACATACACCAAGATCCTGTCATCATCATCAAAACAAAGAAAGCAGCCAGTAAAATGGAGGAAGTCTACAAGTAAATATGCAGAACCTAGTTGTCTGAATGTTGAAACTGTCTGTCTGTCTGTCTGTCTGTAACATTTTTATGCCGCCCCATTCGCAAAAAGCCTCGGGGCGGCTTACACAACAAATAAACAATCATACAATTAACCTTAAAAATCCGGAGACATCTCAGCACAGATTTAAAAACCCAATAAATTCAATCAACAGTTATCAATTAAAATATTGTTTAAATAAAAAGGTCTTGGCCTGGCGCCAAAAAACAAATAACGATGGTGCCAAGTGGACCTCTCTGGGGAGCGCATTCCTTTTCAGCCAAAGGGCCAAATTCCATTGATGGGCATAACTGAAGGCAAAAGGGGCAAAGCCAATATTTCTAGAAATGCCATGCATATTTTAGTGTACATCTGCTGCTGCCAGTGTGGGCAGAAACTAGATCTCCAGATGTTTGGGACTTCAGCTCCTACCATTCCTGACCATTGGCCAGGTTGGAAAGAGCTTCTGGGAGCTGAAGACTACAGAGATTACCTTCTGGGGCAGGCAATACTGAGTTAGATGGAATGTTTGTCTGCTGTATAAAGTAGCTTGTGAGAGGCGGCTTCAGTGACTGCTACTGAAAGCCTTTGCTCCAATATTGTAACCACCCTTAAGATATATTAGGGAGCTTCAAGGGCCTTGCCCAGCAGAAAATCAGTCTTCTGGACATGGGCTCTGTGTCCAAAATGTGAGGGCCTGAGCATGAAGCCTCCCTGGGATTTTATCTCTGACCTATAATTCCTCTCCTACAATTATTCCATATATATCAAGGATAGCTGTGGTTACCCAGTGGGGAGGGCAAAGCACTTTGTCCAGCTTACAAAAATGCCTCAATGATCAGCTTGGAATCTTTGCTCTGAAAACTGTTTCTGGCAAGTCCTGGCTCAAAGGAAGTGGAAGCCAGCAATGGGGAAGGTTATCCTAGCCAAGGCCAACCCAGCTCTGCTTAGGACAGCCTTCACCTCAAGCCTCCAGATGGGCTGGGCTGAAATTCCCACCATCATCCAGGGAGGGTACCAGATTGGGGAAGGCTGGCAGGGTGCAATCCTATGCATATTTAAACACGGGGGGGGGGGAGCACTGCAATGCCCCACAACTGTCTCTGTCCAAACCAGCACAAGATGGCCCCCTTAAAGATTCTTCTCCTACTGGAGTTTTCCAGGCTGTTCAGCAGTATCAGCCCCCATTTTGTGTCTTCTGTT